AATCTTATTATTCTTTGCTGTTTGTGTTTTGTTATAATTCCTACCTTCCTTCTTGTCCTCGATTTTGCTCCCAAAAATATGTTCATCATAGTCATAATAGGAAGTATAATAAGGGTACTTAATTAAAAGAGTCAACATCTGATAACAAAGATAGCGATGATAATGAAATCTCGTTAGGAAGGATGCCAAATTAATTAAAAAAATATTCCCACAAGAACTTTTTCAACAATTTATAGAACATCAAGCATAATTGGTAGTACGCGTACAAATTTCATATTTCTCATCGTTAGAAAAGTTTCCCAATTACAAGTAAAAGCCGTGTTGTTAAAAAGAACACATTTCCGAAAGAGGGAAAAAACGGCGAAAGAGGGAAACGTCGGAAATCGAATGACGACGGCGAAACTTTTCGAGGAGCGTTTGCTTTACAGAAAAATATTTAACTACACCGGCGTGGCAGGTACGAAAGCAACAAGGGAATTAGATTCTCGACGAGAGCCACTAACGTTATCGTCTAATGCTAGACCGATAATGTTCCTGCCCTGCTTACTTACTCTTTGAACCAACCGTGAACTTTTACAACTTCGCGAAACGCTAGTACGCTCTATTCACTTCGGTCCGTGTCGATACCAACTGGAACAAAATTGTTGAGAACCCGTATAAATACGTCCCAACTTACTGGAACTTCTGGAAAAACGAGCTGCGCATTGTGCTTACCAGTTTTACTACTTCTTACATTTGTTAAGTCAAGAAATTCATAATTATAGCTTTGTATATTTGTAATGAAGTACAAATTGTATAAGAGTTTACAAACTGTACTTTACAAACTGTATGAGTGTTACATAAGACAGTACGTAGAATTTTATAATAGACGTATGGCATGTAAAGTAGCAAGTATATGATTTACTATAATTTATCAGCTAACTTAGTCCAACAAAAAAGACCTTTTTCATTTTTTACCATATCCACTGTATGATTCTTATAGATTTTCTCATTTCAAGAACAAACAATGTATGTAAGTACTAAAAATTATGTAAATAAAAAGTGGCTTAGGTGGGTATGTGGCAATTCTCTTCTTTCTTTTAATTGAAAAATGAGTTTCCTCGTGCTCTTAGTTTTCATGTAATACCTCAATTTTCCCCGAATCATGAATTTCTAAAAAAAAAGCTCTATTTTTCGAATCAGATTTCTTGATAGGCAATAAGCATCTTATATAGGTGGATTTTTTATAGTCATACACGATTTGAATATTGAAGAATTCACGTGAGGCACATAAATATCAAAAATACTTAACAGAGACACATTATTAAATTTAGAGAATCCCTATAATTAGATCGCATTCTGTTAAAACAGAAAGTAATCTTGCATTAAAAATCTGTAATCTATTTATAGTAGATACAAGCTAGAGATATCGGAACGCCAGATCTTGAAGGCGGCGTTAATGTCTTGCCGACTCGTTTTACTACCGGTTTAACGGTCGGCCGGTCAAGAAGTATTCACAATACGTATGTACATAATTGTTTCCTGTAGTCGGATATTCATTAAATTTAACGATAACGAGTTATCGATGACATTTCTACGAGAGTGTCGTGTCCATCTTATACTTTTTTGTACAAGGTGATTTTCATAACGCGTCGTTATGACATGGAATTATCCTACATTTTTAGTTTTTGAATAACCTTTAATCTTACCAGATGATACTTGGTTTTTTACAAAAATCGTTTGAATAACGGCATATAAGGTAAACGTGTCTTATTTAAGTCCCTATTTACCTTGTAAATAGACTAACAATCTTATAGAGTCGAGTAAACTCAATTATTAACTAATAATTAGTTCTGTACATTATAATTTTTTCAAACAATCACTAATATTTAACTCAGTTATTTTTAAGTCAGACTTGCATTTAGGCCATTAATTTATATATTTTTTTGAGTGGACTATTGATAAAAAATTTTAAATAGATGTAACTATTAAAACAGTTATCGTAATCGTAACTCAATCGACTGTATTTGATGCATACATAAAAATAAACCGTATATAGATTTGATGCATTTGTAAAAGAATTGAATGTACGGAAAATAGAACTGTTGTATGAAAATATGTAGAATATGAAAAGTGAATATATGTTACAATGTTCACATAACACGACGTTTATTTAAACTACATTCTTTAACTGGTACCATAGACGTTTTATTCTGGATGAGAATCTGCAGTCGACTTTTGAGGATTAAATATACTGTCTTCTCTAAATTGGAAGGGACGAAGAGAAGTAAGATATTTTGGTAGATACGAGTTCGATTTTGTGAATCGGAATTGGAATCACGATTCTTCTGGTTGGAGATCAACAAATTCCCTTGGGAGTAACACAATTACAAAGGACGGTATCTGATCGCGAGTTTTCACTCGAATCGCTCCGAATGCCATTTGCGTAATAAAGCTAGTTACCTGGCCGAAATCCCGTTGGTTGTCGCTAATAATTATTAGGATCGTCGCGAAGACCAATAGTCTGGAGGGGGAGAACTTGAGGGAAATTGTGCAACGCGACGGAAACTTCGGGACGAGACCGGAGGGAAACTCGATTCAACGTTGATTATTCGAAAGTTGCCAATTCGCAGTTGAAACGCTCGCGTCCCGCCGATTTATTCGCGGGTGGAATGTCAGCGAGCAGCATAACAAAGTTGACATTGTAATTAACGTTGATAGGGCCCGAACGCGGAAATTAATTTAACCAACATCGAGAACTCGCGGGTCCTCAGTTAAACCGAAGAAATCTAACATTACTTCTAAACAAATTACAAATCGTAATCAAATAAACAACCGAAACGTGTTTCAGTAAATCAAACTTACATTATTCCTTTCATTCGGTACTAACGGTCTCTGGATCTTTGTACTCGCTGAATCAATCCTTACATTGTCACAGGCTTTCGCAGAAGAGACGGAATTCGGCTCTCTTAATTTCCTTTCAAAACCTTCGATACACATACACTCTCATTCTCCTATGTAACGTACCTTGGTACAGTTACAGTATAAAAAAAAAGGAATGCTAAGGAAGAGATATAGAATTAATACAAAAACAAGAACAGCTTGATAAAATAATAAAATCTTGATATATCAGGTATAAACATATAAGGCTGAAAATTTGAAGAAATAGGGAACATTTTTCATAGCCCTGAGGTAGTAAAAATGAAGTATTATTATTATATACAATTCCACAATAAATTCGATTAATAGATATTTAACTATATAAGTATTTGTTAGAGATTGTATAACATTTGGTATTGCAAAGAGCGCCATATATTTTATCTAATTTTCCACTTTTAAATTGTTGGTAAATGCATAAAAATCTGTAGTCTGTTCGTAATGGCAGGATCTTATAAAGAAAAGAAATAAGCTACCTAAGTGCCTTGATTGAAAACGTAGTTTATAACCTTCTTCAGATGAATTAATTTTTTTTCTCACTTAAACTTTTTCCATTTTCTCGCAAACGGTCTCTCACTTTTATCTGATCCGCATCTAACCTTCCCCTCGTCTAAAAAGTTGCGCGTGGCGCTGGTCTCTTGACACAGAAAAGAGGTCCTCGTCCCAGGAGGGAAACGTTTCCCGGGCCGTTACAATCCCGAAAGGAATTAAGTGTCTGTAATCTTATTTAGGTGAGAAACTAGGTCGTGAACAGCGAGGTTCGCACTCGGTTCCTTTCTTTTAAACAGAACTCTAGGAACCTTTGTAATGCGAACAATATAATAATAAGAAACGCAGTGCTATGAAAGAGATAAATAAAAAACATTCTCCTGATACTTAACACTATCGTATACCTCGCAAACATTCATAACGAAATTCTAAAAGTAATTTTAACGTAGTTTGCAAGACGGTTTTATTTTTTTATACTTGGCTTTAATTGGGTTTCTTGCAGGAAAAATGAGGATAATTTTTTATACATATGAGAAGTTGTACATATATCATTTAGTGCACGTTCGACGCAAGTTTAACAGCAAAATAATGAGATCCTTTTCTCTTTCAATCTTCAATTTATTTTTATTGTACTTTCCAACAAATTTTCTTTTTATTATACTAATTTAGCCCTCAGCAGAGAGTTTTCGCTGTAACCCAACAAAACTCAAAGACGATAAAAAGTGCACGCGGTTCAAAGTAATAACTTCTCAACGAATGAATTCCTCAATTGGAAATTGGCTTTTTGCGTGTTGCTTGATACGTAGGTTCAATCGAAATGAGTGAAAAAAAAACCGTCAGATGTAATATGTCAAGAATAATTTTATAATATCAGCACATTCTTTCTAGATTTGATAAATAAATCATAGTAATATAATATTCGAAACTGGTAACGATGGTCCTCGCGGGCATGCGTGTGGCTACTCGTTTTCCGGTATGACGGGTGAAAACTGAGTGGATCGGCAATTCCACGCTCGTGAATTTCATCGAAACGAGACCATAAATAACTAGTGGTTGCCGCTGCGCAGAATTTCGCCCCGACTTCTCGATAATTAATCGATATCGCGAAATTACGATCCTGATATTATATTACCAGCATCCATAGCGTCGCGCGCGCGCGCGCGCGCGGAACGTCGGTATTATTGAAGACGCCGCGTCGCGCGGCGCGTACGGCGAAACCCGAAGATGCAATTACTGACAGAACAAATCGGTGGTAATCTTGATTACGATCTACATCTGCTCCCGTACGTAACATCCCGGATTGCTAATTAATCTGCCTTCCTGTAGCCCCCTCCCCTTTCCTTTCTTTCCGCGTTCGTTGCTCGCCAGGCATCGAACGTTATCTTTTACATTAATACCGTAATAAACCAAGCGGCCGCCCATTGACGGCGTCCGGGGCAAAAAGCGGCCACCGGTGGCTATTGGAATCCTGCAAAAACGATCGAAGACACGCGGAACAGCGCGGCCGAGCGTGTTAACACGCGGAATGCGGTCCAATTTTTACGCCGTTTACCTAGCGTGTTGCCTGCGACTTCGTATTGCTTCGTGTTCACGTACCTGTATCACATTTATTATCGCTCATGTTGATAGCACTATCTTTGTCTTTAATACTCGATCATTCTTACCTGCTTCATATAGTTCATATTTTATATGATGTTTTTTGCAAGACCCGGAGTCGGCAATCAAAATTCACGACGCCGACTCCAGCTTCTCTTCGTTTTTACCGTCGAGTTCTTAATAGATTCTATTCTCTGTTTCAGGTAACATCAAGACAAACGCTGTGCTTGATGTGGAATCCAAGAGGGGATACTGGTTGACCGTGTACGCGCAAGATCACGGCGTTGTTCCTCTCAGTTCGAGTTTACAGGTTTGTACACAGAAAAGTATAAATAAGAGCATAAAAATTGAAAATCCGTGATTGTAATTATATAGGTGAACCTTCTCACATTTCCTTTAATCTAGTATCACAATTTAAATAATCATTAGAATTTATGACTGTGATTCGTTTTTTAGATTTTTCTTACGAAACTTGCCAGAGCTCTGTAGCCTATTTTATTCTATGCTAATTTTACAATATATATTGTAAGTACATCAATCAATAAACCAAATAAAATTATTGTTAGTGTACCGCGAAATTTTTAAATTATTAAAAGTGTACCGTGACGAGAAAACGCTTGAGAATCACTGCTCTAATCGTATGTTATATGAACAAAAATTGTCTAAATAAAACGCTGATCCGTCCCGTACAGGTGAAACGAAATTGTATTGTATTCTAGTTTTCGTGTTCGTTCCTTAGTATTTGTCCCGATTAACTGGCGCCTTGTTCGCGCGGTAATTTTTATCAATTTTGTTTGCATCCGATCGACAGTTTGTACGGTGTCTGTTAAATAATTCGTAGCCGGTTTCCGCGCAGGTGTACGTGGAGGTATTGGACGAGAACGACAACACCCCGTTAACGGAGGTCCCGGTTTACTATCCCTCGGTGCCAGAGAACTCACCAGCCGGCGTCAACGTTCTGCAGATACGGGCGTTCGATCGCGACGTCTCGCCCCAACAATTCACGTTTTCCATCACCAGCGGCAATCCAGAAGGTTATTTTCTCATCAACATAACCACTGGTAAGTGTAACGCATGCTCAGCTGACCAATATCTCATCGGAATCGAAATAGATTCTATCTGGCTGTCTGTACTTCGTTGGAAATCGATCAACGAACAATTTACTCTTCGAACAAGAGTTTTGATAGAAATTTTATATAGTTAAATGTTTAATTTTTCTCACAACCAAACTTTCATACTCTATTAAGGATGTAGTGGCTATATAGTCAATACC